CTCGCACAAATGGTTGTGCAAATATTAACAGTGTCCCAACACGCATAACGGAATTAACTGAATTTTTAATTGATATCAGCGTAACTAACTTCCAAAACTCCTACGTTTTTTTTTCTGGAGTACCAATGGCATATCTGAGAGACCATGTAGAGTTATTTTGAATTCCTCCTCCAAACAATTCATGACTCAAGTTTGCATGACGTTTGCATGACGTCGCCACTACCAATGATACATTTTACGGGAATATGACACAAGTGCTTTAGAATATATAGATAATCTTGTTTCAACTAAACATGAAATCAGTTTGAAATAACCAAAATCCAAATAACTTCTACGACTTATTTATGACAATGTACAAAAATATTGAAATCAAACTTTCCACTTTTTGTATTAAGCTAAAGAATCAAGAAGACTGTACGATATACCTAAGCTTTAAAAATTAAGAAAAATACGCGATACGATTTTTTGATTAAATGCAAAGGCACACATTTACTAAATTACTACAAAATATTGAAACAGTTTAGCGTATTATCAAAACAAGTTTTCTAAAGTATAGACCCAACTATGTGAAGCAACACGAAAAAAAAATATATCATATCAATAAATCAAGCATCTATTCCAGAAGAGCTCGAACTTGACGGTCATGCATGCTCCCAAGCCTTACTGGTGAACAAACTGAATGAAAACTTTTGATAATCAAATGCCTTTCAGTCATCCGTCAAGTACAGTGATAATCATTTACCGGTCTAGTAGAATGTTTGGAACTAAGGTCATGACCAAGCACAAGTTTGGTTTTAGAAGAATAAATGAACAGAGTAAGCCTTGATACATATACCGTTTAAATATTTGCAAACATTGAAAACAGTAGACGCGCAATTGAAAGTTTCGTTGATTTCAGAAAAGCATTTGACTTTATCGAGCACGAAACCTTAGTGAAAAATATTAGCGTCGCGTGGAATCAGGAACTACGCGCTCAAATAATTCTCAGCTATTTATCTTCAATTTTCTATTGTGAATAACTGCATAGATTCAACCCACAACTTTACCCAATATTATGAAGTGTTTCATGCTTGGGCGTTTGCTATTTGTTTTAAACATAAACTACATTGATAGCATACCTCAAACATAAAATATGATGTTATAGCGGAATAATACAAACGCCTTTGTCTAGCAGGAACCTAGTTTATCTCAACCAAATTTCAAATATTGGCCTCAGTGACTGATTTGGGTAATTATGACACAATAAACTTAATTTGAACACTGGAAAAACAAAACATAACTTGAACTGTAAACCAGAAAACAAGCCTGCCTTGTATGACACAAACATATCAAAAACAAAACTTGAGTGCTTTAATGCACATACGTTTCTTGGCGTGCTGTTGAACAACATTTTAGTACGACTTTAGTAGTATTATAGTAGGAAAAGTTACAAATACACTATTCGCTTGTTTATTAATTCCAGCAGTATCTGATAATGGCATGGGGACAAAATACAAGCACAAATAAGTTGTTTACCCGGCAATATAAGGCGGTTTGATTTATGGAAAACCATCACAGATATCAGAACTTTTCCATTTTTCAAAAGTAGCAAATAACAACTATTGAGAAAATAATGATCCTTGGAATAATAGAAAATCATTAATAATAAAATTAGGCAACATAAATCATTTTTTCTAAGATATATTCTAAACACCAGGAAACTAAATTTTAAGATGCGAACACAACACAAAAGGTTAACCTCGCACAAACTATGATTTGCAACGACTTGCATAAATCCTTCTCGATGATTACGCAGACACCATATCATAGCTGAATTGGCTCGAACCATCAGCTAATTTAGGACATTTAAAGAGTAAACGTTCAGCAATACTTTAGCAATATATCATGACCTGCAGTTGGTACCTCAACTTGTTGGTCTACGCGCGTTATTCAGTATTTGACCGATGGCCCGATGATACTCATAAGTGTTTTGTGGTGTTTCGTTTTTTTTTTTTCAGCTGAAATTTGGAATTATGGGCTAAAGTATCTTGAGAAGACAATATTGTTTCTTCTGCCCTAACTCTTAAAGCTTTTCCCTTAAATAAAACTAAATTATTTTGCAAGGTTTAAGCAATTCAGTGACCCAAATTTTACTAGACAGACGGTACTCAAACTATCTGATTTACTAGTGATTATATTTAAGAATGGGCTATAATTAACTCTGTTTTATTTCGAAATGGTTTGAAAATGCAAACAAAATTATTGCCGTTTTCAAGGTTGCCAAACCTAAGAATTTTGGTTTTGATAGTTTTTAATACAAACGATAGCTTGGCGTTCTTATATGCGTGCCACCTCTCTCAAAAGGTGAATACTATTTAAGATAGTAAAACTAATTGACTGATGGAAGGATGCAAAATTGAAAAATTTTGGTTTTGGTCTTTTGTCAGAGAAACGTAAACTCCTATTATTATGTGTATATGTTGTCCTTTTTGAGCTAACCAACATTTCTGTAATTAAAACCACCTCTATGCTGGAAGTATGCAAAATTAAACATTGTGGTTTTGGGCATATGCCTTACAAACGTCATATAATATTAATGTACATGTATGATTTGTTGCACAAGTTAACCAGAATGTAAAATATTGAAACTATAAAAGTGGGAGATGTATACATAAAATGTTATCCTTAAAGCGAGGAAAAAAATAAAGCAAGAGAGAGGGAGAGAAGCAGCAAGTGTAAGCACTTATTTGGAAATAGTGTGACCAACCAACGCGTAGCGCCGGCTCGCGGCACTGCAGAAGAAAACGAAAAAAGTGATAAAGTATAGCAGTTCCAAGAAAGGCAAAGTAAAAAAACACATACTTTTCGGCTAGCTCGATTATATATTTTGGTACTCAAGCTATCGACATTTGAATATTTAGACTCCAGAGTGAACAAATGTTGCTCGGTTTCGTGGTAAATGTCTGCATAGGTACGTATAAACAAAATTACGAGAACACATTCAAGCAGCTAAAGGTACTGGAAGTATGAGGTTCCAAATAGATTTGTTTAAAATCCAGAACAAAACTGGCCAAGAAAAACTGAGAAAGGGGAAGACGGTGGGCCCGCGCTCGCGCATGTAGTGCGTAGCGCATGCGCCATTTTCTAAGTTCTTCGTTTTATTCTGAACAAAACGGACGTCGGGAATAAAACACCTTCGCACTTGGGAAAGCCTGCTCCTGACCCTAAATCTTCCATTCAACACTTAACACTTGGAAAAAAAAATGTTTAGGGTGATATGTGGCTTTGTAAAAAACATGCGTCAGTAACGCTTGTCTCTTTTCAGATGTCTGCTTACAGGGTCGCAGAAGCCGCCATTGATGATAGGACTGAATTGCTCGGTGAGCTTGGACAGTTCATCTGGAAAAATCCTGAGCTTGGGTTTGAAGAGACCAAGGCACACGACTACATCACCACCTACCTTGAATCCGAAGGCTTTCAGGTCACCAGGAACTATATTCTGCCAACGGCATTCCGGGCAGAGTTTGGAGGTAAACTCGAAACTTTTATGCCATCTTGATTTCTTTTTGCGTGGCTATTAAACTTCAATTTTCGAATAAAATATAAAATATGTGGGTTGATATATTATATACAGCTCTGACAGTTGTATCGTGTGGATTTCGTTTAGCAACGCCAGATATATGCCCGCACAATATTCCGCCTCCATCGTACTACATGTTCGACTAGGACGCAATCTTTGAAGTCGATCGAATGTCTTGTGAATCAAAACTTTTAGATATTTGAGGTCAGTGTTTTTTTTTAATCTTCAGTAACTGAATTGCTTGGTTATCGCAAAGTACGGCTGTGCACACTCAATGAAAATAATGTGGACAAATTTTTTCCTCGTGCTCTACATTGATTTTCCTGTGCTTCCTCCCAAATCACATCTCAGCGCTTGTGTAGGGCGTGAGCATACTTAACTTAAGATCTTATTTAAAAACTACAGATACACCAAGCGATGTGCTTTTACCTCAGGTTGTGCGAAATATTAATAATCAAGACTAAAGAATAAAGAAAAAATTATTAGGTGTCCAGGTACAACCGTACGGTCTTGGTGCTGGCACACCGAAACTTACACACTACAAATTACCTATAAACTGAAGGTACAAATACAAAACTACACCGAATATATTGATAATACATACACACATACTATTGCACAGTGAATAAAAACGTAGTTCGAAGTGCTCAGCTTCAATATAAGAACACTATTATCTATCACATCTTGACACTAATGAATTTAAGACATATACAACATACTGTGATATCCCGAGTTACCTCCCATCAACGAGTCATCGCCTACCCCATGTTTTGCACAAATATCGATTACTTAAAGAACGCCGAGCGATCGCCCACCTCTACAAATACCCCAACGTGGAACCAGCGATCCGCGAGCATTTATCCTCCATGAATGTCCAACCACAAACCGTACGGTCGAAGTACATCTGTGACAAAGTTAAACCAAAAACGGAAGTAGGTGAACCACGCACCGTCGACCGGTCCGTGCTATCAGCGCCATGACGCGGCTGCCGTGGCGGCTCGCTTTCTTATGGCGCGCTTCGCCACAATTAAGCGCTTAGATCGAGCTCTGTTTCCTGATCTGCTGCTACTCCCTGCAGAAAGCGTGGAAGTGGGTTCCGATTTCGGCATCACTTTTTGTGGACTACGTGCCCAGGTCATTGCCGCCAAATTATTTGCACATTGCACGTGAACTAGAACCGACGTTTTTCGGCATTGACTTCACCGCTTTCTTCATTAATGAGTGAACATTAATAACTGAAACAGCTGTGAAATGGAGTGGGATTCAGCAATACATATCTCTACTAAAGGAAGATATTTTCGAGCGTTTCAGCAGAAATGCCACCTTGAGTTTCAAGAGATGAGCGCGTCCAGATGGTTGTCCTGGCTCAGGAAGGACTTTCACGGCGGGAAATATCGCGTAGAGGTGGAAGGCCCATGAAAACTGTCCAAAAGGTTATTGCAGCACATCGGGATGACGATGGACGCTTGGACGATGCCCCCCACCGTCGCCTTCCTCGCGTAACTACAGCAACAAAGTACCGTCGCATCCTCAAAGCAGCTTTGGACGACCCTTTCCGCGCCGCCAGGGATATCAGGGACGCACTGGAGCTCGAGATCAGCGACACTACTGTTCTGAGATGCCTCTACGATGCTGGCCTACACAGCCGTGTAGCTTGCCAGTTGCCGCTGCTGACGGAAAGGCACAAGCAGCTGCGGCTTGACTTCGCTCATTTTCTGGAGAATTGGACTGTGGAGGACTGGACCCACCTCATCTTCAATGACGACTCTACGTTCTGCACCCCGTTAGACCAGAGGAGGCGAGTTTGGAGGCCTGGCAACTTCTGGTAAGCTTTATCAGCCCTTGAAGATAATAGACTGTATAGATTTATCCTTCCCCCTGGAACGTCCAAGGCCATTAGTGACCAAAATATTTTGAGAAATTATCAATGGTCAACTATAAGCTTCCCGTCCGCCACTAAAGACTGAAAACTGCGAAAAAATACTAGCCTTAGCTGAGGTAACGATAGCCAAGTTCAGCGGCGGCTAAACGAGACAAAAATGCTTCCAGTCTTTTTCCAGATACGACCCTCACTTCATCCAGGAAGTGGCCGCCACTGGCCGTAGGTGCGTGAATGTCTGGGGTGCCATATCCCGCCAAGGACTTGGCCCCATCTTCAGGATCGACGGGCGCATGACGTGGGAAGTTTACTCGGACATACTTGACCACGTCTTGATGCTCTTCGTCCTAGATGGGCCCTTTCCGGAAGGTGACCTTTCGTTTCAACACGACCTGAGTCCCATCCACACCTCCCGTTCCACAAAATACTTCTTGGTGAGCGGGGCATACGGGAGCTGCCTTGGCCCTTTGCTGTTGGCCTGCACAGCAAAGTGTTAAGCATCGCATAATAGATTAATATTCATGCCCTCTTTGTAATGCGGCTAATATAACATCGTTGGAAGTGCGACGCGGTCGCTGACACGTCACACAAATGTAACAATATCGTGTTCTTCTTTTTAAGAAGTGGAAAGTATAACTAACGTGGAAGTTTGGGCTAGTTGGTATTTCATGATTAAAAATTAAAACAGCGCAAGGACACGGACAAGAACAAGCGTACATTACATGTTTTTATCTTTGTTTGTTTGTCATGACGTTCAGTATATAGTTGATGTTAGCACGAATAAACTTTAGTTGTAAGTCAGCGCCTTGTTCATCTACCTTCTTGTTCTTGTCCATGTCCTTGCGCTATTTTAATTTTTAATGATGGAAAGTATAAGTTACTTTTTAATTTGTTCCGCAGCCTTCAAATCTGACACATTATCGCGAAAAAAACAAAAACAAAAAAAAACTTTACTAAATGACATTGTCTACCGATAGCATCTGGAAGGCTCCTTCCCCAATCCTCGCGTCTTCTACGGGGAGCAGCAGCAGAGCTGAAAACAGCGCTCGGTACAAGCACTTAATCTTAGGGAAGCGTGCGACAAGAAAGTAAGTAACTAGAGCAGCCGCGTCATGGCGCTGTTAGCACAGAGCAGTCGACGGTTTGGAGTTCACCTTCATATCGCCAGCGGGTGTATACTTCACGTTGTTTTGCGCGTATTCTCGCCGATTTTCGCGACCCCAAAACCGGAGTACATTCGTGCGAAAAGAGAATGATGGAGATAGCAGAATACAGCGTTGTTTGGTTACAATCATGTAAGTTTGTAAGTTGACTTCGCGATCCACTCTAGGTGAAGCCATCGAACGCCCATTATCCTCGAATGTAACCACTGAATGTAAGGTCAAAAATGCAATAATAGACCCTTTCCGAAATTCAGTGCCATCTGGTGGTTCGTCAAGCAGTTAAGGGTTTGCCATATCAATGGTGGAAATGAACTTGTATCGGCACCGTCAGTTTTGCAAGTTAACAGCACGCGAGGAATTGTTCAGTGCGAGTCCTTTCTCGATCACTTTCAACTCGATGGTGACCAAGAGCCTGCATTAAGAACAAAGCTCCAACCCATTCAGATGCCTCAAGAAAATTCTACACGCCAAAGTGCTTTAAAGCCGATTGTGTGCTGCCCACAGATTGACTGAAGCTGAATTATTAGAAATAAACGCTTACGTAGCTCGTGTTTCATTCCTACGTCGCGTCGTACTGACCCCTGAATCTACAGGACTCGCATAATCCCCTTAGGAGCTTCTTCAACATCTTCCTTTGTCAGTCACTAGAAGGCCGCCGTTGGTATGGCACAGATACCATTCCACAGATGATGATAGTGATCAAAGTGGCCAGACTGAATTTCGGGAAGGGTCTATTTGTTCATAACTGGAAGCAACTCCGTGTAGTACGCCTCCACCAAGAGAAGGTTACCGTGATCCCGGTCCTTCTCCTGAAGCGTCGTGATCGCGGTTGGTAAGGTCGAACGATGTATGGGACAAAGCCAACAGGTCAATAAAACTTTACTGGAAAGCCGCACACAAACGTCAGTGAAGCGTTCCATTTCGACCTCCGCGTTATCGCAGCAACGCCAGCAATGCCGCCTCAATCCGCGTTGATGGCACGAAACAAAGTTGCGCAAGACCCTGCTCCTTGTGCAACTTTTGGCATTTCTATATTTTTTCTTTCTTTTTTCGTTGATTCCTGAACCAAACAAAAGGAATATCGCGATTTTGGAAGTGAGTTATCACAGAACAAGCGTTCGGCGCTCTACGCCGATCGGCGGTGTTAATCGCGCGTTTGCAAGCAATGGACTTCGCGATAATAAAACAGTCTGGTGTAGCAAAACAGACTACTGTATGAAACAATAAATATATTCGAGTTTTGAGTTCTTTCTATCTCCTGTACAGCTGCGCTAGATACGTACATAAAAATGGGTGTTTGTTCAGGCTTTTTGTAAACTTTTTGTGCTTACCTACCGAGAAATGGCCCACCACAATTTATTTCATTTCATTTCATGTATTTCACCGTAAAGGCCCAGTTAAGGCATTACATAAGGGGGGCAGTTTATTAACATGAAACAACAGAAAAACGCACTAATGGAGAATAATATAAAGAAAGAAAAAACAAGTTTAGTAAAAGTTATGCAAAATTTAAAACAGCAAAATGCACACTCACATAAGATGGATTTGAAGGGCACTTACGATCGCAGTAGAGTCTTTAATGGTAACTATAGATGATGGCAACTGGTTCTATTCGGAAATGGCGAGAGGAAGAAAGGATTCATTAAAAGCATTGGTCTTACCGAAAATTCGTTTGATAGCACAGTAGTTATTGCGGCGAGATGATATTCTTTCTGGCCGGGGGGGGGGGGGGGGGGGGGGGGGGCAGCTGTGAGTCTTTGATATCTGAGCAGTGATAATAAATTTTGTGAAGGAGGCAGAGTCGGGAGAGTTTCCTTCGGCAGTGCAAAGGGGTTAGAACGAGTTTATTTTTGAACGTAGAAACACTGGTGGACCGATCGTATGCTGATAAGATGAAACGAGTCGCCCGGTCTTACGCTGCTTCTAAAGTATCGACACGGTATGATTGATGGGGGTTCCAAATCGATGCTGCATATTCTAGTTTGGTCTAATGTACGTTTCATAAGTTATTTGTTGAACGTTTAGAGGGGCCTCTCGTAAGTTTCGTCTGATGAATCCAAGAGTGTTCGATGTTTCTGCAGAAATGGTTTCAATGTGGGTTGTCCAAGAAAGGTTAGTAGTTAATCTGGTGCCCAGATATTTGTACATGGAAACGGGTTCGATAACTTCGTGGTCTACTGTATACTGATATGCTAACAGGAAGTGCTTTCTGGTGAATTGGATTATTTTGCACTTGGATTTATTGAGCGACATCAACCATTTTCTGCACCAGTGCCCAATTTTCTCTAGATCATTTTGAAGTTGGAAGTGTCTGTTGCTGATGAAATCTTGTTATATAGGACACAATCATCTGCAAAAGGCCGAATGTTTGAAAACATAATACACGGAAAAACGTTAATGAAGATTTAAAAAAGCAGGGGGGCCAAGGACGGAAACTTGTCGAACCCTTGATGTAACGCTTGTTAGTCTTGATTCATGATCGTGAGTGACTGTGTATTGAACGCGAGATGCGAGAAAATGATTAATCCAAAAAAGTACTAAGGGGTCTAATTGCAGTTATGATAGCTTGGAGAGAAGACGTTGGTGAGGAATACGATCAAACGCTTTTGAGAATTCCAGAAGAGTGACGTTGGTTTGTGTGCAATTCGTGAACAAAATCGCACAGCCGAGTCTCACAAGAGAAACCCCTGCGGAAGCCATGCTGATGTATGAAGAGAAAATTGCTTGAAGACAAGTGAGTCATGATGTGTGAATACAAGATGTGCTCTAGAAGTTTAGACGATATTGTCACGAATGACAATGTGAAACAAAAATGACTGGGGATACTGAAACGATTATTGGAGCGAACTTGTGCCTAAAAATAAAAGAAAAAGGGAACAGAGGAAAGCAGAGCGTCGCGGGCGTCGAAGTCGGCGTGACAGCAGAGTCGAACGCTGGGGCGAGAACTAACTGCGGCTCGCCACGCGGAGCCCCTTATGTACTCGCGTGGGCTTTTGGAATAATCGGTGTAGAAGGTTCGGCGTGTAGAACATTCTGACCTCGAACAAGCAACACAGTTCTCGAATTTACCAGAACATTACGTTAGAGTCAACAGAAATGCGTCCCCGCGGCCAGGAATCGAACCCTGGCTTTCTGCGTGGAAGGCATACGCGAGAACTGTTAGGCCACGAGCGCGCTGCCGGCTTGGTCAGCTGCTCTCGCGGCAATATGAAGGTTAAAGAGATAGGACGATAGTTAAAGGCTAAAGACCGAATTCCCTGTTTGAAGATTGGGACAATCTTACCAATCTTCCAATCAAAAGGTAGGCAGCTTTTGGAGAGTGACTGGTTGAAGATGAGATTAAGAAAGTTGCTGGATATAGCAGCAGTATTTTTTTAGAAATTTTGCATTGATATTGTCGGGGCCTGCTGAGGACGAAAGTTTTAAGTTTTTCAATGAGTTTAATTATTCCGGTTGTGTTAACAGTGGCCGGTGACATGAGATCATAACATTCTTCATGTAGGGTTGGAATATTTAATGGGTGTTTATTTGTAAATATTGAAGAAAAGTAGACATTTAACACTTCGGGACAGTCACTCTTTCTGACTGGTTCTTCCTTGAGGTCGGTGAGATTTGTGGCCTTGGAATTGCTATTTGGTGACATAAGCTTCCAAAATTTTGTCGGATTATTGCGCAAAATTGTGGGAAAATCTTGAAAAAAAAATGCTGTTTTCGGAGCTCAAAGGCTTTTCGTGTTGTGTCTGAGAGCAGCGTAGTAAGAGTCCCAAGCACATGATAGGTTAG